TGTGACTTCAACTCCCAGAATTCCTCAGCCAGGCACGCTGGCTGAGGAATTCTGGGAGTTGAAGTCCATCCTCTTAAAATCTATATTAGGGGTCTTCAAACTTGGCCCTTTCATGACTTGTGGACTTCAACTCCCAGAATTCCTCAGCCAGGCACGCTGGGTGAGGAATTCTGGGAGTTGAAGTCCACTCCTGTTAAAGTCTATATCAGTGGTGTTCAAACTTGGCCCATTACGACTCATGGACTTCAACTCCCAGAATTCCTCAGCCAGTGCCTGGCTGAGGAATTGTGGGAGTTGAAGTCCATGAGTCATAAAAAGGCCGAGTTTGAAGACCCTTGCCAGAGACTCTTCTTCCTACTCAGGAATTCTGGGAGTTGAAGTCCATAACTCCTAAAAGAGCCGAGGTTCCCCACCCCCTAGTCTAGGGCATGGGGGAAAAGTGCGCTTAATCATCGGTCTTTCCTATAAATTCAGAGCATCGTTAGCGACGGCTTTTAATCTCACCACAACTTTAAACCTCAGCTATCGCAGTGTTCTTTACGATTCGTAAAAACCCAATTGTAGAAGCTTCCGTTTGCATTTAATTCAATAACACTTTTATAAAATGGAGCACGCTCTCTTATTTGATGTCACGTAGAACGCCCAGGCTGCTTGTGACGATAGTCTTTCTAACCCCTTGTTTCCATCTGCTTCTGTTTTGACCCATCTTCTAGGTGAAACCATGAGAATCGCTTCCTCGGAATTTGCTGACGATCCTTGTTCCTCCGTCAAACGGGGCACCATGGTCCGGGCTGCCCGAGCTCTGCTTTCTGCCGTCACTCGCTTGCTCATCCTGGCTGACATGGCAGATGTCATGAGGCTTTTATCTCACCTGAAAATTGTAAGACCCCCCCCTCTTCCTCTCCCTTCAGCGAGTCACGTTACCTCACGTGGAGGCATCTGGGTGGGTTGCAGGAGAGAACGGGCGCCCTGCTACGTGGTATTGTTCGCAAAATGTGGGGCGCTAAATGTCTACAGAGATTCTCCGTCATCCAGGTTACAGCTGTCCCAAAGGTGCTTTTTTCACGATGAAACTGGGTCACGGGATTACTTTTTATGACCTTCTGGCAAGCAAAGTCCATGGGGAAGCCAAACTCACTTAACAACCATATTACTAATTGAACAACTGCAGTGATTCACTTCAGTGCCAAGAAAGATAGTGTAGTGTAGTGTATAGTATAGGAATAGGAATAGGAATAGAAAATATGGAATGGAATGGAATGGAGTAGAGTGGAGTGGAGTAGAGTAGAGTAGAAATTAGAATAGAATAGAATAGAATAGAATAGAATAGAATAGAATAGAATAGAATAGAATAGAATAGAATAGAATAGAATAATGATAAGACTGGGATAATGATTAAAATAGAATAATGATTGGAATAGAATAGAATAGAATAGAATAGAATAGAATAGAATAGAATAGAATAATGATAAGACTGGAATAATGATTAAAATAGAATAATGATTGGAATAGAATAGAATAGAATAGAATAGAATAGAACAGAACAGAACAGAACAGAACAGAACAGAACAGAACAGAACAGAATAGAATAGAATAGAATAATGATTAGAATAGAATAGAATAGAATAGAATAGAATAATGATAAGACTGGAATAATGATTAAAATAGAATAATGATTGGAATAGAATAGAATAGAATAGAATAGAATAATGATTAGAATAGAATAATGATTGGAATAGAATAGAATAGAATAGAATAATGATTAGAATAGAATAGAATAGAATAGAATAGAATAGAATAGAATAGAATAATGATAAGACTGGAATAATGATTAAAATAGAATAATGATTGGCATAGAATAGAATAGAATAGAATAATGATTAGAATAGAATAATGATTGGAATAGAATAGAATAGAATAGAATAGAATAGAATAATGATTAGAATAGAATAGAATAATGATAAGACTGGAATAATGATTAAAATAGAATAATGATTGGAATGGAATAGAATAGAATAGAATGGAATGGAATGGAATGGAATGGAATGGAATAGAACAGAGCTGGAAGGGACCCTGGAGGTCTTCTAGTCCAGCCCCCTGCTCAAGCAGGAGAACCTACACCATCTCAGACAGGTGAATGTCCAGTCTCCTTTTTAAAATTTCCATTGATGGACTGCCCACGATTTCTGGTGGCAAGCTGTTCCACTGGTTGATTGTCCTCACTGTCAGGAAGTTTCTCCTTAGTTCCAGGTTGCTTCTCTCCTTGATCAGTTTCCAACCATTGTTTCTCGTGCTCCGGAGAACAATCTGACCCCCTCTGCCTTGTGGCAGCCCCTCAAATCCTGGAACACTGCTATCATGTCTCCCTTATTTCTTCTTGGTAGAAAGCAAAAACTATCCCAGGCAAAAGCAAATATCCCCCCCCCCCCAGGCAGAAGGGCAGGCCCCAAAACAAGAGCACCTAGGCAGGGAAAACAATAAGGATTTGGGGACCTGACATAGGACCTTCCGAAGGTTTTTCCTGACATACAGTGCAGTGTACGGAGCTGTACATGTTCGCCCTCTTGTGGCGGATGCAAGCCATGGACTCGGTCCTCTTTTGTGAGTCCCAGTAAGAAATTAAACCCATCCTGAAGCTGGGATTTTGATAACAGCTGGGAATTGCGAACGCTTAATGAGTGATCAAAGAGAGGGACAAAATGAAAGCCGCCCCAAAGAATTATTACAGGGCAGCCCGTGATTTATTGTGTAAAGTTGTGTTTGGTTTGTTGTGCCGGCCAGAGTTAATAAACAAATAAATGTATAACGAAACAGAAGGAAATTGAAAAGAAAACAAAGCTTATCAGTGATAGAGATTGTCAGCAATTTAAATGAGGAGGAGAACAACAGCGATGTAGCGTGGTAACAATTTCCATGTCCTCAAATGAGTATTTTCAGTGGTCGGGATGAAGCAATAGAAGGAAATTCTACGATGATAAGCTCTTGGGTTTTTCACTGCAATTTTCTTAACTATTACCGCAATCAGCAAAGCTTATACTTGCCTGATTTTGGCAGGAAAAGAGCTGGTGGCTGTTATGAGTGGGAAATGATAACCCACAGTTCCAAGCAGCCTTTTTTTAACCTCCGGATGATTCCTAACCTTAGAAATAATGTGTATTGTAGATGCGGTTTCTGATAAGCATCTTGCTTTCTGGCGATCGCTTGAAACTAGACTGTTACAATAAAAAGGGACAGGTGACAGGTGAAGCCCCTCTCCTCCTACTTCCTACCTGGAAAAATAAAAATAAAAAACCCAGCTCTGGTACACAAGATAGCTCGGAGAAAAAAGGTCCCAGAATGTGACCCTTGATTTCATTATAAACAGGGCTTGAGTTGCTGGAAGAGTTTCCCTTCTGTATGTCAAATAATTTTCCCAAATGGTCAGCTAAGTTCAAAATGGAGAAAGAAAATTGCCCATTGAAGGCAAGCAGGTTATTGTACAAAAAAAAGGTGGGGGGTGGTCATCAGTTAGCATATCCCTTCCGCAGCATTTGGAGCGAACGGATTTAGAAAGACAGTTTCTTCCTTCTTTTTTTTAAAAAAAATCCTTTTTCAAGTAAGGAGTGAAAGTTCTTGCTGTGGAAATGACAGGACATAGATTTTGATACTGAAGGATGAAAGCTTATAACTTGTTAAGATATGGCACTTTCCGGGAAAATAATTTTAAACTTTTGCCTGTCCCGAATCATCCCTCTCTAAGGGGACTGGTTCGGAACAGGATTAGGGGACTGGAGGCTAAAGCATATAAGGAACGGCTGCTGGAATTGGGTATGTCTAGTTTAATGAAGAGAAGGACGAGGGGGGACATGATAGCAGTGTTCCAATATCTCAGGGGCTGCCCCAAAGAAGAGGGAGTCAAGCTATTCTCCAAGGCGCCTGAAGGCAGGACAAGAAGCAACGGATGGAAATTAATCAAGGAGAAAAGCAACCTAGAACTAAGGAGAAACTTCCTGACCGTTAGAACAATTAACCAGTGGAACAACCTGCCTCCAGAAGTGGTGAATGCTCCAACACTGGAAGTTTTTAAGAAGAGACTGGACAGCCATTTGTCCGAAATGGTGTAGGGTTTCCTGCCTGAGCAGGGGGTTAGACTAGATGACCTCCAAGGTCACTTCCAACTATTATTATTATTATTATTATTATTATTATTATTATTATTATTATTACTATTACTATTACTATTACTATTACTATTACTATTACTATTACTAGGAATGAAATATTAAAAGGTGTGAAAACAGCCACAAAAAATTATTAGGAGAAGCAGCTTATCTGGATGCTTTTTATTCAGGGACCAAGCCTAGTGATGGCACATTGATGATATTTGTTTCAAATATTACCGAGCTTACAGTTGATTAGTAATTAATCAGGACGTGGCAGCACCTTTTGCGACTATTGTATTTTATTATAAGGCATAAGCTTTTAACATGGAAAAGATGCTGCCAGACTTCTGGTTGTGTGCCGCCATGGGCTAACTCAGCTCTTCTCTTACAATGTCTACAACAAGAAGTACTTAATTGGCAATGATATATGAAGGCTATTCCCTAACGGAATGCAAAACATTTATGCAATGAATTACATTAGCATATGGCTGAGGCTAAGATACATTGAATTATCTACAGAACAAATAAATACACGGTATTTTGAAATAAGTTGTCCTCAGTCATCTGGTTCCAGAGTTGCTTCTAGAATCTTTGGCTCTAAACCAGACATGTCAAACACAAGGCCCGGGGGCCGGATGCGGCCCGCAAAGTGGTTTCATGTGGCCCGCAAAGCCATCCTGGAAACAGTGAGGGAACGGCCCCCGCTGCCTTGGCCCTGGCCCAGGCCGACCGGGAGCCAATGTACAATTTTGTGGTGGCCATCTATGCTGAAACGCATTCAGTCTTAGCTCCACAAGGCCGTCTGGAAACAGCGAGGAACCAGCCCCTGCCGCGTCGGCCCTGCCCCCCGGGTGCATGCTGGGGAGGGGTCACCCTTTGTGAGGAATGAAGAAATGGACCATGCCTTGGCGCTTGCCCCGGTCCCACCCTCTTCTGCCAGAGACCCTCAGATCTATCCCACTCCTGCCCAGGCCCCCACAGGCACCCTTGACGTGAATGATGTAGAGCTGGCCACACCCACCCAGTAGGCCACACCCACTCCCTCCACGCCCACCCAGTAGGCTGCACCCACCCTGGCCACACACCCCCGCCCACCCTCGACGGCAACCGCAATGCTGATGCGGCCCTCAATGAAATTGAGTTTGACGCCCCTGCTCTAAACAGTTCATAATGCAGGTTTCTATGTTGCTCCTATCCCTTGACCTGGCTCAGTAGTAGTAACTGTGAGAGGGATCTCGGAGTCCTAGTGGACAATCCCTTAAATAGGAGCCAGCAGTGTGCTGCAGCTGCCAAAAAAGCCAACACAGTGCTGGGCTGCATTAACAGAGGGAGAGAATCAAGATCACGTGAAGTGTTAATACCACTTTACAATGCCTTGGTAAGGCCACACTTGGAATACGGCATCCAGTTTTGGTCACCACGATGTAAAAAAGATGTTGAGACTCTAGAAAGAGTACAGAGAAGAGCAACAAAGATGATTAGGGGACTGGAGGCTAAAACATATAAGGAACGGTTGCTGGAATTAGGTATGTCTAGTTTAATGAAGAGAAGGACGAGGGGGGACATGATAGCAGTCTTCAGAATGCAGAATTGCTACAGGGTTAGTGCTGAGGGCAGATTGATTCTTATCGAGCTCCAGGAAAAAAAAAATTGTTAATGCTGTTCAGTTAGTTACATCCTGTGATTTCCCCTTAAATTATAAGCATTGTTAGTTTTGTAGCATTAGCTTTAGTGCTTGAAACAGGCAGATTATTTGTAAAATCTTACCACAGTTTGAGATGATTAAAAGTCTACTCTCATTGGTGTTTGTTAAGCGACTCTGGAACTTTTCTGGTTAAAATTAAATCCTAAATTTTTTAAATTCTTGATTTGCTCAATATTAACCGCATCAGCCATCCAGTGGCAAGCATTTTAGATGTTTTCCAAATTCAGTTTGGAATCTGTTTTGCATGATGGTAAAATGCAATAGTAGATATACTTCCATATTTCTGTTGAAGGAATAGAATGCTTTAAAGCCTTGGTACCAACTGAAAAAAAAATGTTGAATGATTTTACGATCTTGTTCAATATTGACACAAAAATGCAGAGCGCTAATATTGGAGTAATATTCCCTGAGAAAATCATGGCAAATCCTCGCTTCTGTTGAGAGAATCTCCCGAGGATTAGTATTTATCTATGCTGGTGTTTTAAAATATTAAATGTTTTTAGCTGTTGATTCAGGCTGAGGGTATCTGAAATCCGTGTATATATAGCTGTAGCCATTGCCTTCTAAGTTTTAACTATTGATAGTATTGAAGGAAAAATCTTCATCAGGGTCCAGTCCAAGCCGGGAATAAATAACATGGCGACCTGCTTTAGAAAGAAAGTTGCACTTTATTGAAGAGGAGAGACAGACAGAGGGATGGCTCTGGAAGAAAAGAGAGCAAGCACATGTAGGGAGTGGGCTTTTATACCCTCTGGAGCCTTTTGTTTGGAGTTGTTCCTGTGGCATGAACTTTGACCTGAGTCTGAGTGTGCCCTTTGGTATCTGTGGGTTAATCCTATTATGTCCTGTCTTAGAATTTGGGTGGGGTATGTAGATTTTTGGTGTCTTTGTCTTCTTAATCTTGTAGCTTCAACCTTCATGAATGGATTATCACATCTGCATGTCTACAGAGCTGGTTTCTGCTGTGGGGGAGACAGACTTGGGGCTATTAAGAAAAACTGGGCATGCTTTTCTGCCCCTTTAAGATCCTTTGAGGAAATGTAATATTCTGCCCTTTTAATATTTCCTTCTCTGGGGGGCTGACTTCCCACAATAGTTTTCTGTGTGAAGAAATTACTGTCCAGCTGTCACCTGTTACCCTTAGAATGTGAAGGATGTGTGTATATAATGCACGTTCTTATTTGTGGATTTTACTTGTGTGTAGTGTGCACTGTGGACAGCACTTAATTTTGTTGTGAGTTACACAATGACAGGAACGATTATTCTGTTCTATTCTGCTTAATTATAACTAATTGGGTAATCATCCGTTGGTTTGCTTCTGTTGCTGTTGTGGGTGCATATGGGTTTTTTATGGTTCTTATATGGCAGGTTTTAATGTTTCAAGCCACCTGGAATCAACTGTGCGTGAGTTAGCGGCTGTATAAACTTGTTTAATAAACAATAAAGATATAAATTGGAAACAGATTCTTCCTAGAAATAGGAAACCGACTTCTGTTTGCTTCTCGTGCCAGCTTGGGATCCGGCCTCAGATAAGATTCTTATCTCCCGCTGAATAATTTTGGATTTCTCCCACAGATTTCAGTAGATCATTTAGGTGTCTTCCAAGCATCTCATAACCACCATTCCAACAATGAGTGGATTCGTGCCCCAGGAATCCAGTGGATTGAGGGTTACCGCCAGAAAGGTTCATATTTTAATGAATTTCAAAAGGCATTTGAATCAAACCAGTGGAATAAATCACTGTCTGTCTATTGAGGATGAACTATTTGTTGTAGACCAGGGGTCTTCAAACTTGGTCCTTTTATGACTTGTGGACCTTCAACTCCCAGAATTCCTCAGCCAGGCACACTGGCTGAGGAATTCTGGGAGTTGAAGGTCCACAAGTCATAAAAGGGCCAAGTTTGAAGACCCCTGTTATAGACCAAGGATTTCTTGAAAAATATGGAGAATCAGATTCATGGAAATCTTAGTGGTCATATAGTCCAGCTTGTTGCTCATTGTGGGATGGAAAATCCTGACAACCATGTCCTCTTTATAATAGCAATAGCATTTAGATTTATATATCGCTTCACCATGCTTTACAGCCCTCTCTGAGCGGTTTACAAATGTGAGCATATTGCCCGCAACTATTTGGGTCCTCATTTTACTAACCTCAGAAGGATGGAAGGCTGAGTCAACCTTGAGCCGGTTAGAATCAAACTGCTGGCAGTGCGCAGAGTCAGCCTGCAATACTGCCTTCTAACCACTGCGCCTCCACGGCATAATGATAGGAAGAGGCTTGGAAAAATGGCAACATGTGATCAGTGAGTTACCTACCCTCCATGCCATAGAGATAAATCAAAGATAAATACCAATTTCCCAGGAATTCTACTGGGGGCAATGGTGTCTTAACAAATTACTTTGCTTTTTGGCCTCATTTATGTTATCATTTGCTAGTGGACCTTGGAGAAATCTCGGGGCAGGATGTATCAAAATGGGGGAAGTAAAGTGTTCTCATCTTCAAAAAACAGAGAAATGGAAAATACAGGGAATTTTAAAGAAGAGATTGGACAACCATTTGTCCGAAATGGTATAGGGTTTCCTGCCTGAGCAGGGGATTGGACTAGATGACCTCCAAGGTCCCTTCCAGCTCTGTTATTCTATTCTATTCTGTTCTGTTCTTATTTCTCTTCTCTTCTTATTTCTCTTCTCTTCTTATTTTGTTCTCTTCTTATTCTGTTCTATTCTTATTCTGTTCTGTTCTATTCTTATTTTGTTCTATTCTGTTCTGTTCTTATTTCTCTTCTGTTCTTATTTCTCTTCTTATTCTGTTCTCTTCTTATTCTGTTCTAGTCTGTTCTTTTCTATTCTATTCTATCCTATCCTATCCTGTCCTATCCTATCCCATCCCATTCCATTCCATTCCATCTTCAGCTGCCCTCTCTAGACTGCATTCATGGTGCTTCCATCCCAATATTAACCAAGTTTGACACCACTTAGAGTTTGGGGTTCAATAAGATGACTCAACTTTTATTCCTTTTCTATCAGTGGGTTTGTGGATCTTTAAGTGGGAGCCCAGAATAATGTTATTTTTATACCATCTTCTTATAGAAACATGGCACGAATGACACTGGACTTCCAAAACATTTCATCTTCCACTTTCATTGCCTTGCCTTGCCTTGCTTTACAAAATGAAACAAGCCCCCGTTCCTTCCGGGCACACTAATGTTTCGCTCTCAGATTGCAAACAGATTTTAATTGGCATTTTAATCGTTGTACTTTGGCCTGCTTTTATGTAACCCATCCTGAGATATATTTTTGTGGTGACAGTTAATTGTTACTTGTTCACAATGATGGCATCAGAGTTGTTTACGTTTTGAAATAGAAGGTTGAGGAATGCTGGGTCTTGCCTGCTTGCCTGTCATTTACATCTTTTAGGGAGAACACATATTTGTACTCAGTGAGTAAAAACACAACACGCTAAAAGTTAAAGGTCAACAATAGTATTTATTTTCCTGCTGATCTTTTATGTTGAGCTGTTGCCGTTGTATGTTGCTAGAAATTGATATGAAGCCCATGGCCTAGCTCAGGGATAGGCAACCTTGGCTCTTTTATGACTCGTGGACTTCAACTCCCAGAATTCCTGAGCCAGCCACGCTGAGGGGAAAGGGAGAGGTTTCCAAGCTGAGCCATGCTGGCTCATGAATTCTGGGAGTTGAAGTCCACCAGTCATAAAAGAGCCAAGGTTGCCTACCCCTGGCCTAGGCCTAGGCCGCTTTATGACTCGTGGACTTCAACTCCCAGAATTCCTGAGCCAGCATGGCTCAGCTTGGAAACCTCTCCCTTTCCCCTCAGCATGGCTGGCTCAGGAATTCTGGGAGTTGAAGTCCACAAGTCATAAAAGAGCCAAGGTTGCCTACCTCTGGCCTAGCTAAAGCAGATTGTTTTGCTTGATTGCCTTTGCAGTGTTACAAAAACACACATAACTTGAATACACTTTGCGGTACAAACAGGCTCCTGCTGATCCTTCCTAGAACTATAAAAAAACAGGTTAATTTATTTTTCACGTGGAAACCACCCTATAAGGCTACTACTGTCATCTGTGTGAAAAAGAGAGTCACCGAGAATTAGAACTTATTTGCAATCTCCCAATGTTTGACTTTTCACTATAGTCTTGCAACGAATCTTGCGCCAGATTTTGTTCCATTTTCAGTGACAGACCTACTTTAGTACAATATATATATACTGAAGACATGATGAGATTTTTTTAAAAAATATAAAACATACAATGGAGGTCTGCCCAGTTGGGAATATCCATAGCATGATTTTATGATCTCCTGGGGAGGATGTGCCTCAGTATTCTGAAATTGCCTGGTAATGCAGTGAAGATTTGAAAGTCATAGACCAAGGGTCTTCAAACTTGGCCCTTTTATGACTCGTGGACTTCAACTCCCAGAATTCCTCAGCCAGTGTGCCTGGCTGAGGAATTCTGGGAGTTGAAGTCCACGAGTCATAAAAGGGCCGAGTTTGAAGACCCCTGATATAGACTTTAAGAGGAGTGGACTTCAACTCCCAGAATTCCTCAGTCAGCGTGCCTGGCTGAGGAATTCTGGGAGTTGAAGTCCACAAATCACAAAAGGGCCAAGTTTGAAGACCCCTGTCATAGACTGAACTCTCAAATTTCCATCTTCCTCTGCAGGTAGAGGAAGCGTTGGAAGCTGTGAAGAACGCCACCAACGAACAAGACCTGGCAAACCGCTTCAAAGAATTTGGAAAAGAGATGGTGAAGCTTAACTATGTAGCTGCTAGAAGGCAACAGGTAAGCCTGTGGAAAGGGCATCTTAATAATCTGCAGAATGACTTGGGTTTTATTCAGTTTCCCCAGACATTTGGTTTAGGCCAGGGGTAGGCAACCTTGGCTCTTTTATGACTCGTGGACTTCAACTCCCAGAATTCCTGAGCCAGCATGGCTCAGCTTGGAAACCTCTCCCTTTCCCCTCAGCATGGCTGGCTCAGGAATTCTGGGAGTTGAAGTCCACGAGTCATAAAAGGGCTGAGTTTGAAGACCCCTGCTATAGATTCATATGCCTGTATGCAATTGTGCATTATGATTTATTTATATATATGTATATTTGTTTCAAATAGGAGCTGAAGGATCCCCACTGTAGGGACGAAATGGCCGCTGCTCGTGGGGCCTTGAAAAAAAACGCAACCATGCTCTACACAGCTTCGCAAGCTTTCCTCCGCCACCCTGACGTCGCCGCCACCCGAGCCAACCGGGATTATGTCTTCAAGCAAGTCCAGGAAGCCATTGCTGGCATTTCCAACGCAGCTCAGGCCACCTCGCCCACCGACGAGAACAAGGGCCACACCGGAATCGGGGAGCTTGCGGCAGCCCTGAACGAGTTTGATGTAAGCGTGACTCCAACGGAAGAGAATATTGGTAGCTCAGGGTTGAACTGTGGGGTCCTTGGTGCTCTCTGAGCTTGGGCTGTTTCGCTGCAGACGTTTCGTTACCCAGCTAGGTAACGTCATCAGTGCTAGGAGGGAGTGGGGGTTTGCAAAGAGGAAGAGAAAGAGGAGGAGGAGGAGCAGCAGCAGCACTGTGGGGTCTCTGAGCTTGGTTGTTTCCTTGCAGACGTTTCATTACCCAACTAGGTAACATCATCAGTGCTAGAAGGGAGGGGGGTTTGCAAAAGGGGAGGAGGAGGAGCACTGTGGGGTCTCTGAGCTTCGTCGTTTTTTTGCAGATGTTTCATTACCCAACTAGGTAACATCATCAATGCTAGGAGGGAGTGGAGTTTGCAAAAGGGGAGGAGGAGGAGGAGGAGGAGGACTGTGGGGTTTCTGAGTTTGGTTGTTTTGTTGCAGACGTTTCATTACCCAACTAGGTAACGTCACCAGTGCTAGAAGGGAGTGGGGTTTGGAAAAGGGGAGGAGGAGGAGGAGCAGCAGCAGCAGCAGCAGCAGCAGCAGGTTTCAGAGACCCCCAAGGACTCCACTTGAGGGGAAAAGGAAGACATTTTGTCTAAACATCTCACATCTTTATCTACTGTGCTACCTTTGGTGTCCAATAACACCGATCGTTTCTCAAATATTTCATTTAACTTATATATTATTATCAGAAGCAATCTGATCTTTCTTCTATCACAGAGGTTTCATACCGGCTAACAAGCACAAACCATAAATTAATTTAAAAAGCGGTGGCAGTACAATAAAATTTTTTTGAGGGGAAAGAGTGACTATAATAGACAAAGATTAAATTCAGGAAACCAGCACATAAAACGGAGCATTCACTGATAACAATGCAATAAAAAGCTTGGAAGAGTAGAAGATATCATGTTTTCTCTGGCTCTGAGAGGTTAGGCAGAATATTCTTGAGCATAATGCACCAGTGACCAAATATCTTTCATTAAACGAAGGGGACGAAGCTGTGGCTAAAATCTTCCTTAAGCAGGCTCTTTTGGGCCCAAGGAGATTGTCTGGTGCTCAGATAATTCATTTGGAAGCCAATAAAATAGCAAGAAACTTCTGTGGTTTGGGAATTCAGTGAATCACACACTCCTGCAGCCCGTTTTTCCACGGAATCGTGGCAAGTCTTGCTTCCTAGTTTTAAGCTTTCAGGGGGGATGGATTGCACAATTAAATCTAATTATGCTAATTGGATTACAGAGCTGAATATCAATCCTTTACTGCGGCATTTATTTTGTTTTAGTACAAAGGATTAATGTGAGAGGATGCGATTTGCCCCTAAGTTCCACGTTTTTTCAACCTTGACCACTTAAAGAGGGGTGGAGTTCAACTCCCAGAATTCCCCAGCCAGCCATGTTGAAGTCCACCTGTCTTAAAGTGGCCAAGATGGGGAACCTCGGCTCTTTTATGACTCGTGGCTGGCTCAGGAATTCTGGGAGTTGAAGTCCACGAGTCATAAAAGAGCCAAGGTTGCCTACCTCTGGCCTAGGCCTAGGCCGCTTTATGACTCGTGGACTTCAACTGCCAGAATTCCTGAGCCATCCAAGCTGAGGGGAAAGGGAGAGATTTTCAAGCTGAGTCATGTTGGCTCAGGAATTCTGGGAGTTGAAGTCCACGAGTCATAAAGCGGCCTAGGCCTAGGCCAGAGGTAGGCAACCTTGGCTCTTTTATGACTCGTGGACTTCAACTTCCAGAATTCCTGAGCCAGCCATGTTGAAGGGAAAGGGAGAGGTTTCCAAGCTGAGCCATGCTGGCTCAGGAATTCTGGGAGTTGAAGTCCACAAGTCATAAAAGGGCCATCGTTCCCTCATGCTGGCTGAGGAATTCTGGGAGGTGAAGTCCACAAGTCATAAAAGTGCCAAGGTTCCCCACCCCAGGCCTAAGTCCATATAGAAAGCTAAAATATAGTATTTAGTGATACGTTCTTTTCTGAACTTAGAGAATACTCTAGATTTATTTAAGTTTTTCAAAAACCTATGTAGGACCTACTTCTCGGATGTTAGATATGGAAGCATGTGGACCTTGTTTACTTTTACTCAAAGAGACTTACTATAAAGTGCTGCCTGAATTGTCAATTCAAGTGTACGGAGATCAAATTATTTCACAAGTTGATGCTCACCACAGCATTACAAAATGCACAAATAGATCTTGATAGAGGATGGACAATATATACAATATATTGATTGTCTCAATGGGAAGCATCAAACATTCACTAGCTTGAAAACCTATAAAGGTCTAACGGAAGCTCCGGGATAAGGGTGACTGTGGCCCCAAGACTTTACTAGAGAATCCCCCAAATCTTTTGAACATTTGAAGAATGACAGAGTCGTCAGAGAAATCTTTATAAAGGCAATGAAACTCTGAAGGAAAAGAACTGCCATAAAACACAGCGATTGCTGATGACGTTACCTAGTTTGGTAATGAAATGTCTGCAAGAAAACAGTCCAGTCCAGAAAGCACCAAGGATCAACAATTTTTCATTCTTGACAATATTATACTAAAATTGCAGACAGGAAGCTTTCCACGCAGGAACATCTCATGGCTGATAGTCATTTCCAGCTTCCCCCAGTATGAGGATCCCCACCTGTTGGTTTGGAAGGGCCGGTGTGGATGACCTTCTCAGCTTCCTTCTTACCTACTGGGAAGTAACCTCCATCTGAAGCTTCTGGCTCTGTATGAAAAATCACGCTTTTTCGTCTTCTTTGGAGCAAGCAGAGCAGTGCAGTCTCTCCGCCGTGCTTCATCCCATCCGACTCAGATGGCCGTGTTCCAGGTGGCTGATGGGGTGCACTCTGTCCATGCTCTCTGCCTTTGACAGTCAATTCGCCCTGGGCTGCTGTTCTCTGTGTTTATAACAAGTTCAACAGAGGAAGGATAACATGCTGGTTGGTCTGTTCGTTCGTTCGTTCGTTCGTTCGTTCTTTCTTTCTTTCTTTCTTTCTTTCTTTCTTTCTTTCTTTCTTTCTTTCCTTCCTTCCTTCCTCCCGCCCGCCCTCCTTCTCTTCCTTACTTCTTTCTTTCTTTCTTTCTTTCTTTCTTTCTTTCTTTCTTTCTTTCTTTCTTTCTTTCTTTCTTTCTTTCCTTCCTTCTTTCTTTCTTTCTTTCTTTCTTTCCTTCCTTCCTCCCTCCCTCCCGCCCTCCCTCCTTCTCTTCCTTACTTCCTTCTGTCCCTCTTTCTTTCTTTCTTTCTTTCTTTCTTTCTTCTTCCTTCCTGCCCTCCCTCTTTCCCTTCCTTCCTTCCTTCATTTCTCCCTCCCTCCTTCCTTCCTTCCTTCCTTCCTTCTTTCCTTCCTTTCTTCTTCCTTCCTTCCTTCTTTCTCTTTCTTCTTCCTTCCTTCCCTCCTTCCCTCCCTCTTTCTCCTTTCTTTCTTCCTTCCCTCCCTCTTTCCTTCCTTCCTTCTCTCTTTTCATGAAAAAGATACAGAAAAAGTTGCCTTTTTTGTATATAATTACACACGACACACATACACAGAAACATACACACAGAGACACACACACACACACACACACACTATTATATAGTCCTCGACTTAAGACCACAATTGAGCCCAGGTTTTCTGTTAAGTGAGTTTTACCACCTTTCTTGCCACAGGTGTTAAGTGAATCGCTGCAAGTGTTCAATGACTAACTCGGTCGTTAAATGAATCTGGCTCCCCCCATCGACTCTGCTTCTCAGAAGGTCGCAAAAGGGGATCGCGTGACCCCCGGGGGACGCTGCGACCGTCATAAATAGGAGTGAGTTGCCCAGCGTCTGCATTTGGATCGCGTGACCCTGGGGGATGCTGCAACGGTCGCAAGTATGAAAAACGGCCCTAAGTCACTTTTTCCCGTGCCGTTGTAACTTTGGTCACTAAATGAAACGTTGTAAGTCGAGGACTATGATAGATAACCTTTATTATCATTTTTTTTTACTGCGGGCACATTGGCACACATTAAAAATGAATTTTACTTGCTTGCTCTCCAAGTCTACCCATACATAAACATATTTAAACATGCTATATGCTACATAGGTATAAATCTACACGCTTACATATAAATAACGTATAAATGTTACATATCTCTCTTTATTACACACGCAGGGTTAATATTCTGCAATCTTTTTCTTCCCGATCTTTCCACCCAAAATTAGTAAAAGACCTTCCCTTGAATTTGGAACTAGCCATGTAAGAACGTTCTATAGTTTAGCGTCTCCTGGGGTTTGTCGTTCCTTGTACCCAATCCTCGTTTGTTTTGTTTTTTTTAAAAAAAAAACTCAGACAGAAGGGGCTGCTTCCTTTCTCAAACAAACATCTAGAAAAAGGATTTGAAACCTGGCCAAGAGAGGCAGCCCAAGCCTTGTTTGTGCAAAGCAATCAGGAAAGAGCTCTCAAACAGAGCGAGCACGAAAGAGGAAGCGGCAACCGGCGGTGGCGTCTCTTAGCGCCCAGCAGTCGGCAAAACTTCCAGCAGGAATAAAAGGTTCGCCACTGGAGTGCAGAGCGGAGGATGCTCAGAGCCTTGCTTAATGGACGCTGATTGCCGAGGTGCAGAATTGTGTCTTCCCTGCTGAAAACGGAGTGGCATTACACTTTGAGCAATTTCAAAAAGCAAAACAGTCCAGTGTCCGTGGTACAAAATAAAACCCCCTTAATCCCTAACCTTTCGGGCACCGGGGACTGGTTCCGTGGAGAAAGGTTTTTCCGTGGACCGGAAGGTGCGTGGTTTTGTGTGCTGCCTGCATCCCACGGATGGGGCTTTGCTTGTGGACCGGTTGCTGGTGCGTTGCAGCCCGGTACTGGTCCACAGACTGGGGGTTGGGGACCCCTGCCCTAATGCATCGAATAAAAAACGGGATCCACTCCATTTTTGTTGTAGCTGCTTTGATTCATTTCTTTTTCTTTTAATTTTTTTTTAATTTTATTAAGTAAACATTTAAAAACAGATTGAACACAGTGTGACTT